CGAATGGACCGAACATTGACTGGAAATGCTTATGTTCAGCTACTTGGAGATCACTTGCAGCCATTCATGGACTTCATGTACCCAAACAACGATGGGACCTTTATGGGTGACAATGCGCCATGTCACCGCGCCACAACTGTTCGCGATTGGTTTGAAGAACATTCTGGACAATTCCAACGAATGATCTGGAAACCTAAATCGCCCGACATGAATCCCATCGAGCATTTATGGGACATCATCGAGAGGTTTGTTCGTGCCCAAAATCCTGCACCATCAACGCTTTCACAATTATGGACGTCTATCGAGACAGCATGGCTCAATATTCCTGCAGAAGACTTCCAACGACTTGTTGAGTCTATGCCACGTCGAGTTGCTGCACTTCGCCGGGCGAAAGGAGGGCCGACACGATATTAAGAGGTATCCCATGACTTTTGTCACTTCAGTGTATATACAGCAATTTTTACATTAATAATTATTACATAACAGCCATTTTCTCTCGCTGATTGACGCAGCCCGCTGCATTTTCGCCGTCTGCCAGCGTTCCCTTACCTCTTTCTTCATCTACGGGGCCCTCTCCCCTTCTCCCGGGGTCAGAGTTCAAAGTTGAATACGCCCCCACATTGTAAACAGGCTCTGTCAAAGACAAGCAACTGCAATGTGTCGCCCCCTGCTGATCACGACACAAACAAATCCTACATTTATAAGAAAATTTTTATTTTTATATATTTATGTACATATTAATCAATGATTTTTTATTCTGGTTTTTTTAAAGGCTTGACAGATCAAAGTAAATATTTTTCAGGAAACAGTTCCATTCTTTTGGCCTGCAACATTAAAATGAACTATATATATATATGCAATAAAACATAAATTAAGAGTTAGCAAAATATATTTTTTACCTTCATTTACATTTTGTGTGGTGTTCGTGTCAGTAAACTCATTTGCCTTTTTCATTTTAGATTTTGCTTGAATGTATTAAAATATCTTTTGTTTTATTATCATCCAATTGTTAAAATATATATACTAGCTATGAATTTAACATTTTGCTATTCCTTTTTTGTCTTGATGCTGTACTATAAATATCTCTGAAAATGAGAAAAAACGTATTAATGAAAAGGTTTTAGGACGAATTAGTAAATTATTTACAACCATATAACATGAAAATATATTAATTAAATTAAATATTTATTTTACCGTCATAATCATAAAAAGTAGATAAAGTTATACATTTTTCATAATAAAATTATATTTTAATAATAAGTAAAGGAGATGAACAATTAAAAAAATAATTTTAAACTTCTCTAAATAATTTTAAACTAGTATATAGCTAGTATATTTCTGTTTGTTTTTAAAAACTAAGTAATAGTTAGTTAGTATAGTTAAGTAATTAATGAGACTATAATAGATATTTTGGGACCTGAATGGCCGAGTGGCTAGCGCTCTGGCGCTCGGTGCCACAGGTTTCGGGTTCGAGTCCCAGCTGTGCCATGGATGTGTGTAGTGGTTCGGAATCCACTTTAAACCGTAGGTCCCGGTCTTACAGAATCGTAGAACGTTGCGGGGGCATTGTTACTCCGCGTCCGTGGCTTACCATCAAGTTACAACGCGCCCCCTGGTTAACACAAAGTGAATAACGCCTGTGCAGCGCTTGCCTTAAGGCATCCAAGACCAAGCTGTCTAAGTGTTTGCCAGCTGCATTGGAACAAAAAATAATTGATATTTTTAATGGACGTAAATTTTTGTTTAATTTTCATCTTACCAAATATATACAAACAAAACCCAATTCTATTTTCAAAACATGAATATTAACAAATAGCAAACAATAATTAAACATTTGACAGCCTATATGGAAGCAATGGTGAAATATGAAATATCATATCACTAATTTATAGCAGAATATTGATTTAAGTCGATTTTAAATTTATAGTGGACGAATAAATGTTAAGATTAAACTAGTTTAATTTGTCCAACAATTTTTCTCCAGAGAATTTAGCAAAGAGCCTTGTAAGGGGGATTTAAACACAACCGAGTAATAAAGGGTGAAATTTAATTTTGGAATGGTATTAATTGCAATAAAAGTAGTTTTTATTATTAATATTTAAACATTTTTAATTAAAAAATATTAAAAGAAAAATTAGGCGAGGAAAGTTTCACAATAACTACTATACATTTTCATTTAAATATTCTACTATACTTTTGCAATTTTTGATGTGAATCTCCAGTACAAAGTGTTGCCGAAATAAGATGTTCATTTTTACATAACAAATAGGTGAAAAAATGCCTTTGATTTGACTAAAAAGTACCTTATTTATTAGAAAACTTAAATCCAATCATGTAAATTCAATGTTTTATCAGATGATTTTGAATGAAACAAAATCAAAAACAACTTTGACAAATGTTTATGCATGCTATAAGTAAGTTGTAAAATTGTACATAGACGTGGTAAGAAAATGAGCAGAGAATGATAAGATAAGGGGGCCTGAATGGCCGAGTGGCTAGCGCTCGGTACCACAGGTTTCGGGTTCGAGTCCCGGTGGTGCCATGGATGTGTGTAAAGGTTCGGAATACACTTTAAACCGTAGGTCCCTCTCCTAATAGTATCGTGGAGCGTTGCGGGGGCATTGTTATTCCGCGTCCGTGGCTTATCTTCAAGTTACACTCGCCCCCTGGGTAATGCAAAGTGAGTAACGTCTGTGCAGCGCTTGCCTTAAGGCATCTAAGACCAATCTGTCTAAGTGCCCGCTGCGTTAGAAAGAAAAAAAATGATAAGATAAGGTTACTTCATTGAGAAGTGCTGCAAAAAAAAAAATTTGACAAACAGCGAAGTTTAGCCATATTGAGTAAGTACGAAAACAAATTGTCAAAGAGTGTGAAAAGAGACACTGATTGAAATCTGGGTAAAAATATGTGTCTCTGTATGTGTCTATAAATATGTATTTTGTCTTGTCCTGCAGACAGAACGTGACAAAATAGGAATTTTGATATTTACGCCTGCTAATGCTGCTTTATTTCGATTTATCTAAATGCTGTTGAAATACTAGAGATAGAACAAAGTTGAAGTTTGGTTTGTCGCTCCACTTTAATTTTGTGTACACTTTAGGCTAATTAAACCGAGACGTACAGTTTAACGCGGACCCCGAATCACTAACAAAACATCCATGCCACCGCCAGAACTCGAACCTGAAGCATATCCAGAGCGCAAGCCAGTTGGCCATCAGGCCTCAGAACAAAAGTGAAAATTAAACGTCTATACTTTAAAACTTGAAATTTTTTATTCCTTTGCTTATGGTGAAACATCAATTAAATTTTAGAAGAAAGGAATCATTTCACATACTTTCCAGTAACCAAACGAAAACAAATAAGTTGGACAAAACATGTATTTTGTTTTACACATTTTTAAATATATAAAATAGCCTTTACTTGATTTGACTTGACTGATATTAATACTGACTGACGATACCGACTACGCCCTTGACTGATTTATCTCGATCTATCCAATAGCTCCTTCTGAAAAAGAAAAGGAATAACTAGTTAAATGGTGTCCATATTAAATAGAACAGCCTATTAACGAATAAAGCAATTTCACCCTATTAAATTTTAAAGAATCGAAGAAGGCAAATTGAAAAAAGTTTCGTAGATTTCGTCTAATATCTAATATCGATCTGAATTGGAGCCTTTTGAAATTATTCTGTCTTGAGATCGATTTTTTCCGCCGAAATTCAAAAAGTAGATAAATTAAGATATAAAAACAAGGACATGTAATAATAAAAATGAAGAAAAGAAGATCCAATTGATTGAAATTAGAACTGGCTGAATTATTATTATTATTTTTTCTAATGCAACTAACAAAAACTTGGACAGTTGTCTTGGATGCCTTAAGGCAAGCGCTGCACCGACGTTACTCACTTAGCATTAACTAGAAGGCGCGTGTACCTTGAAGATAAGCTACGGACGCGGAGTAACAACAACACCGCAACACTCTACGATGATGTTAGACCGTGACCTACTGCTTAAAGTGGATTCCGAACCACTGCAAATATCTATGGCACCTCCGGGACTCGAACCCGAAACCTGTGGTACCATAATGAATATGACCATAGAGCGTCACGGAGTCAAGTCCGACTTCTCCATCACAATAGAAACTGCCTCTATTTCCCTTCAACCTTGAATTCATACGGATTCACGGACTTGGTCTAGATGTTTACCAAGTGGGATAGGAAACAACAACAACATTTTTAACATTCGAAATTGCTTGAAAAAACCTTGGGAAAGGGAATGTATCACTCCGCGGGGATTGTGAAATGGTATACAGAAAACGGCAGTAGTTATAATTCCCCATTTCTACTAGCTGGATGGTTTAAATGGGGAAAAACTGTTGCATCACAGAATTCTCACAATGGCTGGACATGGCAAATAGTTGAGATTTATGCTTGCCTTTAATGGCAGAAGATTACGATATTTGCTGGTTTACGATGTTTGTTCTAATGCATTTTAAGTGAGAGTTGGCTATGATGCAGTCACCGAATGTTAAATTTTGTTTCAAATGAAGAAATGTTACTAGAAATATGCGAAGAGTTTTAAACAAAGTGCTTGGCGACAAAGCCGTGGACAGTAAATAATAATATGGTTGTTTAAAATTTTCGTATTTTGCAAGTACATTGTAGATTCAGGTTTGATTGTCAGCAGTTCTGCAGGGTTGGTTTTTAAAAAAAACTTTCAAAATTGACAGTTCGAAAAATATTCATAATCGCCGTATATTGCACTTGATTGAAAATTTTTCGAAGTCATTAGAGGTAAGTTTTATACATATATTAGTTTCAATGTTGTAATTGTATCTTTCGAATAATTTCTTTTAAATATAAGCTTATATACTTAAACCATAAGAAATAGTACTGTAAAGAAATATATCTATATGATTACTTTTCATTTGGCTTTTTTATTTAGTTATTCATGAACCAAATATACAGCAAATTTCTTTCTGTAACAACTATTAAAAGGCCAACGGCCGTACCATGCTGAATATACCGGTTCTCGTTAGATCACCATAAAATCATTGGGCGCGGTCAGTACTTGGGTGGTGACCACCTGGGAACACTGCGTGCCGTTGGCAAATTTGGGACCTAATGGCCGAGTGTCTAGCTCTCTGGCGCTCGGTGCCACAGGTTTTTCGATCGGTGCCATGGATGTTTGTAGTGGTTCGAATCCACTTTAAGCCGTAGGTCCCGGTCATCTATGACTGTAAGAGCGTCACGGAGCAAAAGTCAGGCTTCTACCTACGGGTGCTCCATCACAACAGAAGCTGCTTCCTTCCCCTTCAATCATGAGTCCATATGGGTTCGTGGGCTTGGCCAGCCAAGTGGGATAAGAAACAACAACAACACTATTAAAAGAAATAACTATTACTAAGAGTTTAATAGTTATTAAAGCAATGATGCAATCACCAAATGTTAAATTTTGTTTCAAATGAAGAAATTTTACTAGAAATATGCGAAGAGTTTTAAACAAAACGCTCGTAGATAAAGCCGTGAACAGGAAGTTTCGTATTTTGCAAGTGCATTGTAGATTCAGGCGTGATTGTCAGCAGTTCTATTTGAGTGGTTTTAAAACAAAACTCTCAAAACTGACAGTTTTAAAAATATTCATAATCGCCATTGGAAGTATAGTGCAATCTTTCGAAGCCAATAAAGGTAAATTTTATACATATATTCGTTTCAATATTAAAATTGTATCGCTGAATTTTTTAAAATACGATTATATACTTAAACCATATGAAATAATGTAATGAAATGTATCTATATGCTTATTTTTCACATGGTTATTATTATTATTTTTTTTTAGTTATGCAAATATTTCACAATCTTCCAATTTTCGTAATAACTATTAAAAACAGATTTTAAAATAAGATTATTAATAATATCTTTAATAATGATATAATGATAGAAATCGTCAATTCATGTAATTTGCTTGAATTTTTTAAATATAATGTAAAAAAAAAAAAAAAAAAAAAAAAAAAAAAAAAAAATTCGATGTTGTACATTTTGATCTACAATTGAATGTGAAAGTCTTTCGGTGTATTTAAGAAATCTTCACTTATATTTTTATCTTTTAAATATCATTTAAGGAAGCGTTACTATCTCAATATTATATCCATATACAGTATGGATTCTATAGCAACTAACAAAAGTGTGCGAAAAATAATTTGGGAAATTTCATTGTTTTATCTACTTCCTTTTCCGTACAGTGCTGTCATACATAAACAATAAAAATTTTATTGTTCGGAAAAAGTAAACTGACGTTTTATTTCCGCTGAAACCGCTCAGAAAGTTGTTAAAGTGTCTGAAAGCTTGCCTCTTATTGTTTTTTTAAATAGGATGCAAGTATTGATTATGTAAATTATTTAAATTTTTACTGTTGAAAAAGTAGGGCCTGAATGGTCGAGTGGCTAGCGCTCTGGCGCTCGGTACCACAGATTTCGTTCGAATCCCGGCGGTGCCATGGATGTGTGTAGTGGTTCGAATCCACTTTAAAACCGTAGGTCTCGGTCTTAATAGGATCGTAGAGCATTGCGGGGGCTTTGTTACTCCGCGTCTGTATCTTCAAGTTACACGCACCTCCTGGGTAACGCAAAGTGAGTAACGTCTGTGCAGCGCTTGCCTTAAAGTATCCAAGACCAAGCTGTCTGCTGTTGCCAGCTGCATTGGAACAAAAAAAAAAAAATAAACTGTTGAAAAGTTTTTCTTAAGTAATTTAATTTTCAAATACAGCATTATGAACTGAATTTGAAGTCGTCCATTTTAAGATTTTATCAATGGTTGATTTAGTTGTACTGAAATATAGTTTCTATGAAATAAAATCTGAAGTTGTACCAAATTTGAATTTATCAACAAACTGTGTGGGGAAAATAAAGCAAAGAATTGTAGGAAATTTTCAATATTGTAGAATGCTGCATTCGTATTAACGATAAAAAAATTTTCTTGTGAGGGAAAAAGCAATTAAATTTTTTATCCTGAAGAAATCTTGGAGTAAGTTAAATCGCTTGGAATTTTCCATCTTACTTGGAAATTGTTTTTGAACATGTAATGTTATCCGCTTTCTAAAATTATTCATATATCTCATACATTAATAATATAGATATTTATATATAAAGATTTATTTTTGGTAAAAAATATTGATTTACTAATTGTAAATTCAGATTATTTTTCTTAAATTCAGATTATTTGTGCGGCTTGACGGCCCATTGGCTAGCTCTCTAGAATTTGGTATCGCAAGCTTCAGGTTCGAATCCAGGTAGTGGCATGAATGTTTGTTAGTGGTTTGGAATCCCCGTTAACTGTAGGTCCGGGTCTAATTAGCGTAAAGTATGCTCAAAATGACCGTAGAGCTACAGACCAAATCTCTCTGTTGTGGTTTACATTTCTTCTTCATTGGCTCAACATCCCATCGGTGGGCCAAGGTTGATTTAGAGGTTTACTGATAGATTTTGAGACAGATGTTTTCTTTATGGGTAGGGTTATCGGCTGTACACCCCAAGATCCATAGTAGACCGAGACCTACGGTTTAAAAGAAGCGGATTTCGAACCACTATTAAACGTCCATGGCACCACCGGTACTCGAACACGAAAACCTGTGGCACCGAGCGCTAGAGATTTAGCCATCAGCCCCTGATTTACATTTCATTGATTAAATTTGTTTGTAGACATTTCAAGATTAAAACAAAGAAATCAGATGAGTTAAAAAAAGGATTCATTTGGTAGGCGCGCCCCAAATGTTTTCTTCTTCTAAATATCCTTTAAAGAAGTTTTACAATAATACTAAACCCTAAACTGCTCTCACGAGATCCATAAAGTAAGCTCATCCTCTGTTTCAGAGATCAAGCTGTGAATTTCATTATTCAAGCAAGCAGATAATAAAAGTTTATGATGTTGTCAAAAAAAAAAATTACTGATGGTGGTAATTTTATTAAATTGCTAGGTAATTTTATTAATTACCCGAAGCACGATAACACACGTACGGCAAAAATGACACAAATATGTTTCTAGTGATCGAATATTCGGAATATTTATATACACTTCAATAACTGCCCTTAGAAATAATTACTTTTGTACTTAAAATCAATTCTTTGTTTTTGATTATTTTCTTTTAATTTAAACTGCAAATTTAAAGAATAAAACATTGATTGCGAAATGAAGATTCGAATGTGCATATTGCTTAATATCTTCATTTTAAGATATTACTTTCAATAAGTGATCAAAAAATGCCCAGATAAAAAAAAATTATTTAATTTCCCGTAAAAACATTTTGATTAAAATGTTTTTTTTTGAATTTAATCTTTGGTTTTATTAGTGATTGATTGAAATTTCTTTTTACATTTTGATTGCAAAATTAAAAACGAATAACAAGTATAATTGAATAAAATAAAATTAAATGTCTCTGTTTTAATCAAGACCGCAGACGATCGGAAGATTTTATTTCATTAAACGCTTATACCTTTCTAATCATATTAAATTTTCATTTATTACTAGTCTGAATATTTCTATTTTATTATGTAATACATATTGCTACCTTGTTACAAAAATGATTTGATATTTAAATTATTCATACAAAACTTTCCATGTTAATTAAAATGAGTCTGCAAAATTTCCATAATTCACAGTGCCTAAGGAATAGTTTCTTTGTATATGAATATTTAATCCTTCTTTCTGATAATCTCACATTGCAGAATAATTCTGTGGAATACTTTTAAAGCTGCATTGACCTATATTAATTAGTGAATCAGTTTGAGGCATTCCTTTCATTATTGATATCGATTGCATGACATTTGAAAATTTGACTGAATTTATAAAGAGTTTAAATAAATGGGAAGTTGATAGAGCAGTGCCTATTGAATAGGAGGAAGTGGATTTGATGATATTGTATAGCAGGTGGTCTGTAGATGCATCTGTGGATTTCAATTGATTTGGAAGCTTTTGTTAGCTTTTTCAATTAAGTTATATTTGATACTGAGGCTGCAAATAAAGGATTCCTCTCTATTATGATCCTCATAATTTTCCTTTTATTAAATGCTTCAATAAATGAAATTGATATTAACACATCAATAAAATTGTAAAGGTGTAGTGCACTATTCCAGAACTATTTTCATACCGGAGACCTTTACATTAAGATTGGTTCTTTTATTATGGATTCTTATTTACCATGGAAATCTGCTATAGGGCTTACAATTTTTTTTGTGTTAAATCAACATGAAATTAAAAAGATAGTTTAATAAAAGTTGTTTGGAGGAGAAACCATCTACAAATGCAAATTTGTTTTTTTTGAAATCCTTAAAAAAAATACACTTTAACATTATGCCCTAATAGCTTAGTTTTTTTCTGGAAAAAGGTGCTACAAAAATAGGTGATTCTTTCAATTAATTTTTCTTTTATAATTAAAAGTATGTTTCGTACAGATAAATATTCTTTTTACTAATTGAATATATCGATAACATTTTTTTGCTAATATTATAGCTTAAAATTCATTTCTTTTGAAAGTGCACTTCAAAATTTGTAAATTATTCATTTAATAAGACATTGATTTAATGAAATTCTACGCATTGCTATTTAAAAGGTACAATGAAACTCATATTTTAGTAAGTTTGGTAACATTTTAAGAGCATTCTAATTTATTATTCAAAGCTAGTGTATTCTAAGCTGTTTTTAGAGCTTAGAAAATATCCCAAGCATACGTTAGCCTTATGAGGTTTACAATTACACTAAACTTTGCTCTCAGAAAGTTTTACAGAAAACCATAAACTTTTATTGTTTAAAACAAATAGTTTTAGCTCATGAAATCAATTAATAGTCTTTAATTAAACTGGTGTTTGCTTTTAATTTACTTTTAAAACAAAATCTTTATTTTAAAGAAGTTTAATTTGATGTGGTAAATGGAAATACTTGGAGGCATTAAGATGTCATTTATTACTATGGCGATAGACCCTTAAACCATTCCTTTTACGAATTTTGCGTTTGCTGATAAAAAGGTTTATTTAAATTAAAATAAAGTACTCATTAAAGTAACTTTTCTTTGCTGATTAGTATAGATATTTTAAATTATAATTTTCAAATATAATT